TTAGGCACCGCGATATCGTGACCATTGACCTCAGCAAGAGTCTTCGTTAGCGACTCCAAAAATCTAGTGACCTCAGCCTCCGTCCCAACTGTGATCCGCAGACATCCCAAACAACCGTGCTCCTTGCCCCTAAACCGCACCACAACGCCTTTATTTTCAGCCAGCTTCTCATATACAGCGAGTGCCGTGGTGTTATCGGGCTTTCCGTCCTTACCCAGCATTTCGTAAAGCAAAAAGTTGCTTTCGATGCCGCCGCGTAGACGCCCGACACCCTTGGTCTTAGGTAGTTCGCGAATCAAGCGATCTCGCTGTGCAACGATCTTTTCTCGGTTCGCATGCATCACTGCCAATCCCTGTGACGAGAATGCGTAGATGGCTAGCGCGCTTGTTGGACTAGGGATATTGTATGGAGCTTTCATGCTATTGAGAAGTCGCGCGATGGGCTCTGACGTGAACACGGAGCCTAGCCGGATACCCGCCATGCCGAAGCCCTTGGACGACGTCTGCATAACAACGAGGTTAGGCCATTCGGCGACCCACTCGGCGAGCGACGAGCCCTCGGGCGAGAAGTCGACGTACGCCTCATCCACGATGACAACGCCATTCCACGTCGGGTGTTCTAGTAGCTGTCTGATGTCCTCTTTTGCAATTGGAGCTCCCGTGGGGTTTCCTGGCGAGCACAGATATACTAATTTGATATTCGGCTCGTTTGACAGCGCTTCTTTCACCTTGGCAACATCAAGCGCGAAACTTGGTGCCGGTAGGAGCGGGATCTTAACAAGGCCGACGTCATTGACCTGGGCCGATACGGAGTACATGCCGTAGGTAGGCGGGCAGACTAAGATTCTGTCCCGGCCGGGAACGCAGAAACACCGCATGAGACCATCGATGGCCTCATCGCTTCCGACACCTACGAATAGATTGTCGGGTGTGATCTTCTTGTCCGTGTGGTGGTGAGTGTTTCTTAGATCGCAGAGCAGCTGCTTCAGTTCCCGCTGGTGCGGATCCGGGTATCTGTGCAGACCTACAAAGTCAATCTCAGGCCCTGACGATGTCGAGGACACAGCAGGAGCCTTCAGAGAGGGGCCGTAGGCGTTCTCATTCGCATCCAATAAAATATTCGTGCCATCGTCCTTGTAATCGCTATATTAGAAATGTCAGCACTGGGATACATGACAGGATCCATGCTAGATATCTCACTCTCTCGCACACCGGTAGGGCTCGAGTGCCAAGATGTTAGACCTTGCACAGGTCTCTAGATTGAATGCTGGCATAGTGAGCCGATATAGTTGATACGAATCGTGCTCGTCGGCCCAACTCTTCTCAGGATTTCTGCTTGGACTCTCTTCACTGTGGCTTGGGAGACTATCAAATAGTTATCTCACTTATTATGCTTCCTATATTAAGAGTAGTTGAGTAGGTACTTGAGTCAGAGTTCGCACCGGTAGACCTTTAGTGAGTCCATCACTGTGGAGCTCCGATCGGAGCAATCCAAGACATTTCACTTCAATTGACGTATCAAGTGGGTCCACAAAGTTGCGGAAACGCATATCGTATCTAAATAGGCAATCTTGCAGCTAAACGGTACACTGCTGAAATAAAATGTAAATGCAGTACCAAGCTTTCTCGGACTCAAACAAACCAAAACTAATAATTACCTAGGTAATGCTATGTAGGGCAGGGATAACGACTTCTTCGGATTGAGCGTTAGATGCATGCTTGCCTTTGGATTATCTGTTCACATGTAGGCGACTAGTAGCATGGGGATTGATATCATTAAGGCTGGGAGATAACCGCCTGTGATAACATGAACGGTAGAGTCTGGTTGCTCCGTAGTGGATGGAGATGATGCAGTCGCTGAATCGCTTGAAGTTTCGTCTTTATTCTTGACGTCTTTAATTTCGCCAAATTTAAAGGGTGGCTGCGCATCGAAAGCGAGCAGTGCTTGGATAGTCTCGAGGGCAGTCATTTGTTGCCCAAGCCCCGGATTCCCATCATATCCCCCGACATACCTGTTGAAAAATCTGAAGTTAATAGTTATCGCGATTTTAGATATATTATATTATAGGTCTGGCTGGGCTGTAAACCTGCAGAAAGGGGGGAATGCATACCATTTTTCCCCGCAGACCGTACCATTGTCTCCGCCCGAGCAAGCTTTTCCTGCTGCTATGGCTGATGCAGTTAGCAATTCTTTAACATCGTTTAAAGTCGACGGCATCATCTGTGCCGTTGCAGCCATGAAGCGAGAAACTAATTATAGCCCTTAAGGTTAGAATAGTCGTTGCTATAATTGTCTGGGGAATGAAGAAATTGACTAAGATAGGTAGTCTTCGAAGAATATCAATTCTTGTACTGCTGAAAGAACTAAAGCAATAAGAAAGGATAAACCCGAAATCACTTACGGTAGCCTTTGAAAGATTTCATATCTGTGTTGCATATGTCGAATTCCTCACATGCATGCTCGTACATGATATTAGTGGAGTTTGGAAATGGGCTAAAGTAAGATCGGGAAGCCTGTAGGAGACTGTTTGTCCTGTCGGCCCAAGTAGCGTCTCCGTCGGTGTAGTTGAAGAGAACGGCTGCTCCGTACATATAAATGCCTTGCGAATACGAGAAGCTTACGGGGTTGATGTTCCGGCAACCATCGGACGAACTCGCACCGTCGAGAACGTTGAAATCGTCGTCGATGAAGCCGACATTCTGCGACCAATCCCATATCTTTTCTGCCCAGTGTAGGTAAGTCTCGTTAGCGGTTGCTCGGGTCAGTCGTGCTGACATTTGAAAGAGGCCACCGTTGGATACCGCGTTCTTGTAATCGAGACCGTTTGGATTACCCGGGTATATTTGCCAATGTAAACCGCCGCCGCATGCTGTATCATCCCATCTGAGGGCCATAGTGTTCCATATGTTCTCTGCTATTTGTAGCCAAGAGGGTATTTTCTCGTTAGGCTGCGGAAAGTTACGTTCAGCGGCTTCCAGAATAGCAAAGGCCCAGAAGGCTTGATCGTCGTTGCCCTCAGAACCAGCATATCGTGAGTCCATGAAATTAAAATCAGGTCCAACTTGGCTCAATAATGCTTGTGTTACTACATCGTCGTAGCTAGTATCACCCGTGTAGTGCGAGTAATCCAGGATGGCACCCCAGCAAGCACCGGCTTGCCACCAGTCTCCGTTGAGTTAGTAAATCAAACCATCATTGTATTAAGCAATAGAGCAAGGTGCTTACAATGAGGCTGCGGAAAGATAGCAATAGTCTTGTAGAGCAGTTAGCCCTTTGAGCCCTCCAGTCTGAACGAGCGAGTTCTAATCTTACGTCTGGAGTATTTGTGATGTTTCCGGAGTAATAACTCATGGTACCATATGCGATTGTACTGGCGACGGATCTAATTGACCCTGTATATTTAAACGGTTCAACATTATTCAATGGCAGGTGATGCGGAAGACTAGGTATACCTACCCGGATCATTGACATTTAGGTCTCGTGGGGCAACAAAGGTCCCGCCTAGCGAGGCGGCGTGAATGAGGTCATGCATCATGGGTTACATAACCCGTTGACGACGAGAAATAAACTGCCCGAAGAATGCAACGAACTGGTATTAAACGGCAGAAATGTATGTCTAACTTTGTCTGTTAAGAGGAAGAGAAAACCGGTAATCCTGTGCACTAAAACCGACAGTTTCGATACTTGAGAAAATCGGATCTTGAGAGCGTAGAAGCTACATGTAGCTTTGGTAGAATAGGTACCAACGGAGCGAGGATGCAGGTTTGACGAATGAAAGGTAGGTAGCGAATGAGGATCGTTAGCAATTTCAAGCAATTGAGTTGGCCTGAATGGCCGTCCAATTTAGTGAATGAAGTAAGGAAGAAAGAATGAGGATATGGGACTTGTAGGAGCGAAGCAAAATGGCAAGTCGAGAATATTGTGCACTTCTGTTGTGGAGTAGACGACTCGGATACGAGGAAGAAAAGCCATCTTGTGCTGCGTCTTCTTATACGGAGTATAAGAAAGAACGCCCTTGCAAATCATGGTTTGACGTAGCACAATAAGTCTAGGGTGCAGTTACCCAACATATCGACTGATGTAGGACTTGCTTTCGTAATAGGACCGAAGTCTGTGTCACTATCTGGTTAGCCGGATAAGTAGGTCGTGCGTTGAGGCTGTTCGCGACGCTTCGTTGCGTAATACAATAGCATCCCAGTGGCCTGAAGCGGTACTCCTATTAGTCTGCCTACCTTAACATTTTGAGGGTTGCGGTTTATTGGGATACAAATGCTGCTGTTGATGCTTTAGATTCCATTCCTTCCAGAAACGGAAGGTCAACAGGGGATTGATTGGCTGTCAGGCCGCTGAGGTCCCGCCATTTCTAATTAAGTACCTGCCTAGGCACGCAAAGTCGAAATAAGCTTCTTGTCCCGAGAGTCCGTCTAATACTTTCTACTAGGCAGAAACGACCGTTTTGTAATACACTTATATTTCCTTTACATATAAAGGCAATTAATATGCCGGAAACGCTAGTATGGATTTATACAGCTTGTTTATATGATGTGTGACAATCCTCGTAACAACAAGGACTAGCTACCTGCGATATGATGAATAGGTCTATAACTATCTATGGATAAGAGGACCAAAAGCAATTGACTCGCTTGGCGAGCGCTTTTTACATTCAAGGAATGCAGTAGAATCCCAAGTGTTAAAAAACACCTCTCGGACGAATATCGACCGACCTAGGTAATATTGTTTATATACTCCAATACTAAGTGAGTAATTTATATAAAAGGTACCTACTACCTAAAGAGTGAGGAGATAAAAAGTTAATACAGTATAAAAGCACCGTAGGTAGCAAATTAAAGCACTGTTTTTATACTTGTTAACACAAAAGCTTATTAAAGTAAAACATTTATTCATTTAGTACAACCAAACAACACAACCAAGTAAAAATAAGTAAAATTAAGCGAATTAAAAAAGAGGGTTGGTACAGGTGGAATTGAACCACCGATATTGGACTCGCGGGGAATCGAACCCCGGACCACTCCCAATCTTGACGGGCTTCTCGAGGAGCCACATCTGATGCTAAGGGAGTATTATACCACTAAACCACAAGCCCGATCAAGTCAATGAAACTCGGAAGAGCTACTGACCAATCATTGTAAGACACAGCATAGTCATAGCATATATTCCGACAACGATAAAAGTTTCTAGTTCAAAGGTTTTAAGTTGTGTTGTTTGACGCCGCCGTTAGGACCGACCCTTGAATAAGTTCTCGTTTGAAGATACCCTTTTGGTTTGAGGGACAGTCCCTCTGGCCATAGCACAACACGACGGCCCTCTTTCGAGGCACTGCGATGAATCCCCCTTGAATAATTGAAGTCTACGTCATTGGACTTACTCGGGACAGACTATGATAAAGATGACCCCCTAACTAAGAGCCGTAGCCTTAGGTCACACCCTTTCCATGGTAAGGTTCAGGCAACGACGACACACGCATAACCACCCAAGATGCTACACAGTAAAATGCATATATCGTAATAACATTCTCTCATGTATAGCAAAACTCCAAACTATATGTACTGGTCTATATTTTCTTTTAGTGGCCGAATTAGAGTGGCCTAGCGAAGCATCTTTACTCTATATCCCTACTCGGTGTCCTTTCCTTAATATCAGTACTTAATATCCTTACTCTACATTGTTAGGCTCCGGGGTTTCGATTCCCTCGTCCGCCAATTGCTCCATTTCTCTCTTTTGACCCCATTCTTCCTTCTATTTTCTTTGCTTCTTGTTAATTGATTCATTTTTTCAAGAAAGAGTGAAAAGTGTGTTTGATTTGTTTTGGAAAGTTGTTTCCCCTGCTATATATCTAGCTTCTGGTAACGGGAGTAAGTTTTCCTAGTTGTAGTTGTATTCCAATTGCTAGGTTTTCACGGCAGAAAGCGCAGTTAGATAGGATAACGCATTGAAGCTTCTTAACTTTCATTCACTTGATTAGAAAATTAAACAATTGCTTAGCACTCATTTAAAATTAATCTATCTAAATCATCATCTACTCTGACTATTATCATTACGTTGCTCGGTCTCGCTCAAGATCGATGTCGGCTAGAGCGACAAACTTCGTTCGGAAGATGAGCTTGTGTCCTAAATAGAGAGCAAGGAACAAAATAATGCTGACATAGGCTGCAAAAAAACCGCTAGTACTCCAGCTAATAAACACTGTAAATCCGTTTGTGAAGAGAATTAGGACGCAGAAAAAGAGTCCGTAGATAGTAAGCCAGGGTTGCATAGGCGCCTTAAAGGTTAACGTCTCCCGGGATATGCCTCGGGATCGTAGGACTCGCATGAAGACCAGGTGGCAGATGCTGATGCAGCACCAGCTAATGAAACCGGCAATACCGGCAATGTTCAACAACCAGTTGAAAACCTGACCTCCGCCAGATGACAAGTTAAGGAATGCGAATAGGCCGATTACAGCGGTAAAGGCTACAGCATAATGGGGTGTACCGAAACGGTTCGTCCGTGCGAAAAATGCGGGCGCATGTCCTTCGTTGGCTAGCGCGACAATGATTCGGCTGCCCGAGTATAGGTTAGAGTTCGCAGCTGACAGCACCGCGGTAAGGAGGACGGCGTTGATGATGTGCGGGAGGACGGGTACGCCGGCTAATTTCGCAGCGATGACGAGAGGCGATGCTGAGGCATCGCTCGCGTCGGTAAGAAGTTGTGGGTTATCAGCGGGTACTGTAAGGCCGATGAAGAAGATAGTTCCCACGAAAAGCGTGAAGACGCCCCAGAACGTCCAGCGGATAGCCTTCGGCACGCTCTTGGAGGGGTTTGCCGTCTCACCCGCACCGACGCCCACAAGTTCGGTGCCCTGGTATGAGAATCCTGCTGTGACGAGAACGGACCAGAATCCAACGAACTTGCCGATATTTCCGGTGACTATATACTCCGCAAAGGGGCCTGGGTGAATCCATGCGTCGAAACCGAGGTAACCCTGCTGACCGGCACCAGCGTCGATGCAAATCGCAAAGATGATAAAGCCGATAATAGTGACAACCTTGATAGACACGAAATACGATTCGAATTCTCCAAACCAGCGTACAGGCAGAAAGTTACAGGCCGTGAAGACGACCCAGAATATGGCAATGAAGATACCGACGCTTAGCCTCTTGTCCCAGTACTGAATGACAAGACCCGAGCCGACTAATTCCAGGGCGTATGTTGAGGCCCACGAAAACCAATAAATCCAGCCCATGGAAAACCCAAGCGAAGGGTCGACGAATCGTGACGCATATGCTGTAAATGAACCCGCAACGGGCATAAAGGTAGCCATTTCGCCGAGGCTTACCATAATCGAGTAGACAATCGTGCCGACGAAGAGAAACGCAATCAAACAACCGACAGCGCCTGCTGTTGCGAGTGCTTGGCCGCTACCCAGGAACTACGGCATGTTAGAAATAGACAAGAACTCGCCAGAATGGACAATAGGCTGAAACTCACGAGACCCGTGCCGATGGCACTTCCTATGGCGATGAACTGGAGATGCCAGCTGTTTAGGCCGCGCTGTAGGCCTTCGCCCACCGACAGATCCTTCTGTGAGCCATCGATAGACGAGACAGCCAGGTCATCTGGCACCTTCTTCTCGATCTCGATGGCCTCACCGGGTGAGGACGTTGCGGTTGGGTACGAAGCCATGTTCAGGCACGAGGGTCGAGTCGTGTTTGACGTGTATAGCAAGCTGGGGATCGGCTTGACACATAGATTCTAAGCAGCGGGCGGCCCTGAATAAATGGAAAAGAGAGGTACGGTGCTGGTATGACTCCGACTCGCGGCGCTTCGAGGCTCGCCCCGTTCCCCATTCGCACATGGGGGTAGAGTACCTAAGTCACGATAACCTAGTCCCCCATTCTCGCGGGAAAACTCTGCTCATTCGACGCCTGCAAGCACTGGTGGTTAATACCCAGAGACACTGTGCGATGATGTGGCAACGGATGTTGTCGGAGAGAGGCCGAAGCCAAACCTCGCGAGTCAATTTAACCTACGACCGCGCAGACTAGCGCCTGTGCTTATACCCTGATTGTGGCCGGACTGCGACCTCAGGCCTCAGCTCAGCGCATGCTCCACTGAAAACTCTGTATTTCGCCCCTGTTCCGCCTCAAGCCGCTAGTCGCGAGCCAATCATCTTTCACGTTTGACTAATAGAATTGCCTTTCTAGGCAGTAGGGCCTGGCACGATGCCTTCTAGATCATCTAGTGTACCTGGTTCTATTTCCCTATAACAGAGATAAGGTGTTCTTACATATAGAGTAATGTCAAAGCATTCGAGCTAAAGTCTTCTATTCACGTTCGAGAATTACGTTAACGTTGAGGCTGCTTTTAATGTTGTACTACTTTTATGTGTAAGCTTCCCCTGTGCAGATGTGTCTCGGCTCATACCTCGCGTGGTTCGTCATTTAGCTGGCGTATGCCCTACTGGTAGGTCATCTCTTTCCATACAACTCCTGAGTTGTTAATTGTTGCTATAATTGCCGATTATCGCCGCTACGCGAGCGACCGCATAAAACCCTTGATAGGTGCACACGTCCCATCTTCTCGAAACATACGACTGTTTCCTCATCTCAAGTTGGCCCCCACGTAGGCCGTATCCAGAGTGACATCATAAACTCCAATGCACTCTATACACCTATATGATGCATCTAAATTGCAAACTATCTCCCAGCCGCCTACTATTCTTGTAACTCTATTTCCTAACTTGAAGCTTGTTTCGGCTTATCACAACCAATTATGGAAAACCTCCGTCTAGAGAAGGAGAACCCTGAGTGTCCTCCACAGTTAGAAGCTAAGATCAGAGAGCCGCGTCACAAACCCTGTTTCCGCGCTACCCGCTAGCATATTAGTAATAATACTGAACACCGACTGAACCCGGGGCGTACCATCCTCATAATTACTGGGTATTACTCTACTATAGATGGTTAGTATATGCGTGCCCTTGACTGTGGGGTAGTGTGTTATACTGGTCCGCCTTAGTCTGCTGACGACCAAGATACGGGGTAAGGCTTCAGCTGCATGAGTCTCGGCAGATTCGATTGATAGACTAATCTCATCCAGTGTTACCGCTGGCCCGAGATATTGGATCGTCTGTGCGTAGAGTAAGGGGCCCAACGTAGAATCGTCACAGGCTATATGAACTAGTTGACTAATGGGTGACACATAAAATAAGGATTGCTACGATGGAATTGAGCACTGGCGGATATAGCAGTAGCCGTAAGCATCACTTGTAGCAAAAATAGCCGTTGGGTGATGCCGGTGTTCTTGAGCGAACCGTTAACTATCACAAGAGCCCCTCACAAGCGAGATCACATGTTTGACCATAGAGAAGGGGTTTTGCAAGTAATCGTAATGGGTCCAGCATATAGAAAGAGATGGACTCAGAGAATCCCATCGTTATGCTAAGTAGCCGTGAAGAACTAGACTCTCGGTCCAGTTACACATATCCTATAAGATACGCAAACGAGAGTGATACCTTCTTCCTCGGTGCCATCTATAGCTTTATGAATAGTCGAGCGCGACTTCGATCTCCATAGTGAATACATGAGAATTAGAAGCTCTCTATACCTGGATACTGAATGGCAGATCTCTTGGGGCGCGATGATGATCGTGGTTTAGATACTGCCGCAATAATTCAATACTCTATCTAGAGCACCATGGCGTATATGGGTCTATGAATATACGTAAATATAACATAACATGGTAGCAATAATTTTGCTAATTTAGGGATAGGCAATATAGATCGATACGAGACCTACATGATCAAAGATGGAGCCTGTACTGAGGAAGCTTAGCGGAACAATATATGCATCTATTTGAAGGCCAATGCTCATCCAACACATATGAATGGCACTATAGGGACTCGATGACATAATAATTATCAATACGGCCAAATAGCTCCACCGAAATGACATATAAGCCAAGGACTAGACTATAATTGAAAAGACTCTGAAGGTAGAGATTCTGGGGAAGTATTTGTCAGGAATAGGAGGGATCGCACCCATGCTCCTATGCTAGAGGATCTCTTATTATCGGTGAGCACGGTATTAAAAAGTACAAGTTCTACAT